CCAAAATTTTTTATAATATCATCTAATTTAAAATGTATTATTGACAACTGTAAGAAAAATAGTACACTACATGATTTATAATACAAAAATTAATAAATAAAATAAAGATTTGGTAATCAGTGTAGAAATTATTAGAATGTGTACCAATTTTCTTTAATTTTTTAATTTTCTAGAATAAATTAGCGGAAGAAATTGTTAGTAGAAAGAGAGAGATTTCAAATGGCCTCATTGTATGAATCCTATCTTTAAATTAATATTACTAAATTTATGTTAAAGACTATCTTGTTATAAAATAAAAAATATAATTAGACCATTTATTCCTAGGTTGTATGAAGAAAATACCTTTTATTTTTTTGACAAGAAATACTTATTGTGTTATCTTTTTTTTTTTTTACAAGAAAAATATGATACTTGTTGATTATCTTTGTTTTTTCTTTTTGACAAAAGAAGAAGATATTGTACTACATTTTTTTTTTTTCTTGTTGTATTACTTTTTATTTTTTTTGCAAGAAAAATAAAAAAAATGATGCTGTCAAAGTACATTTTATTTTTTTATGCCTTTTGTTTTATTTTATTTGCAAGAAATACTTGCTATATTACCTTGTATTTTTTTTACAAGAAAAATAAAAAAAATTTGTATTATCTTTTTTATCTTTATCTTAAAAAGCCTTTTATTTTATATTTTTTATATTTTTTTACAACAGTATTTTTGCCTTTGTTTATTTTTTTGACAAAAAATTGTATTTTTTACAAGAAAAATAAAAAAAATATTGTATTATCTTTTTTATCTTTATCTTGAAAAGCCTTTTATTTTATATTTTTTCTATTTTTTTACAACAGTATTTTCTACCTTTGTTTATTTTTTTGACAACAAAAGTTTTTTTGTATTTTTTGGTTGTGCGCTAAGGGGTTCGAACTAAAAAAAAAAAGAATTTTGTTGTGCGCTAAGGGATTTGAACTCAAAATATTTTTTGGTGTTCGCTATGGGGTTCGAACTCAAAACATACACCCAAAATTCGATGTTGTCAACCAACATGGCCACATCACCACATGAGATTTTTTTAGCTTCCATAATAATATATATTCAATGATATTGCTTTAATGACTTTTTGTGGGAATTAGCTTACATTGAAGGATGAGTGTTGCTTGGTTCTCTATAAAGTCATGTGTATTAGATTTTTTGTTGCGCATACAGAAACGTGATGGAGGCAAACGTGAGATGAGTTGCCACGTGTCACTCTCGTGCGATGGCCACGTGTCACTCATGTGAGGCCTGAACCGGTGCACGTGTGGGAGTTTGTATGTGGCACGTGTGACGCGTACACATGTGTGAAGGCTAGAATCGGAAGGGAACCGGCTAGAACCGGGTGGGAACTGGCGGTTCTGCTCTAGAACCGGGCGGTTCCCGATTTTGTGTCGGAACTAGCACGGTAAGTGCCGATTCCCGAGTCGAACCGGGCGAGTCCGGTTCGACTCGACGTTTTTTTAAACACTGGTTGTGAATGAATGAGAAAATGAAATTCGGACCCCTCTCTCTCGATCTCTCAATCTATATATCTTTGAAAAGTTTCGGGGGTATTTTGGTTAATTTATTTTTTGTGAATTATTTTTTAAATATTTTTATTAAGTAATGGACGCCTAAAATTTCAAGTTATTTGGATTTTTAGAAAAAAATTTAAATTCAAATACGAAATGAGATCGTTACCGTCAGATAGACCCATATTCAATCTAGGCCGTTGGGCTCATATGTTCATATGAGCTAGTGGGCTAATCTTAGCATTTTTCATATATATATATATATATATATATATATATGTATGTTCCCTAC